CAAACCCAGACACTTCATTAAAAATTGGAGACCTATATCTTTATTGAATGTAGTATATAAAATTGCTTCGGGTTCAATTGCCAATAGATTAAAAACTGTTCTTAGTAAATTAATTAATGACGATCAAACTGGCTTCCTTTCTGGTAGATACATAGGCATCAATACTAGACTAATATATGACATTATGAAATACACAGAGAAGCATGATTTACCTGGCATGTTGCTCATGATAGATTTTGCAAAAGCGTTTGACTCAATATCTTGGTCATTCATTGAAAAAGTTCTTATTTTCTTTGGTTTTGGTAATAGTATAATTAATTGGTTTAACACGTTACACAAAAATGCTCAATCAGCTGTAAATCAGGGGGGTAATCTTTCTTCTTTCTTCAATATCGAGAGGGGCTGCAGACAGGGGGACCCAATCGCACCATATCTATTTATACTTTGTGCAGAGATTTTGGCAATAAGAATTGGGAAAAATTTTAACATTAAGGGGATTGAAATTGAAAATTGTCCACTTGTATTATCACAATACGCAGATGATACATCACTAAAACTTGATGGATCAAAAAACTCGCTAAAAGAATCAATTAAAGAGCTAAATTGTTCAGGTTTAAAAGTAAATGTTGATAAGACCCAGGTTATATATGGAGTGATGACAGTTTTTTACCAGAATACAATTTGCAGTAGGGTAGGAGAAAATTTACCTTATTAGGGATAGAATTTAGTGTGAATCTCCACGAGATAAAAACTTATTTTGACAAAAAACTAATGATGAAAAATTAATATTTACCAGATCTTTTCATTTCTTTACAATTTGCTAAACAGTATGGAATATCTATGGAATGGAGGAGAAAATTAAAAGGGAGCTAATTGTGCAGATTATTCCTTAAAGTTAACTTGGATAAGAAGACTTTTCCAAACCACGGCTAAATGGCAATATATTGTAAAATCTTACATTAATATGGGTCTTTTTGCAAATTGTGGGAGCGAGTACATTGAGAATTGTAGGAAGAATTGTAGAAATGATTTTTGGAAAGAGGTTTTTAAAATATTTCATCTCTTTAATAGTAAATACTACAATAATATTCATCAAGAACAGATACTAAAAACACCTACAGGCCAAATATCAGCACTCTTGGACGTTTGCTTATTGAGAAGACGTTGGTATATTAAAACATAATTTAACCGCTGTGACCTTGAAAGTGGGACAAGGGAACAAAGTTGGTAGTCATCAGCACTCTTGAACGTTTTCTTATTGAGAAGTAGTTTGTATATTTTAACATATTTGACTCCTGTGACCTTGAAAATGGGACAAGATCATTCATTTGAACAAACTTGGTAGCCTTTCCTCCAAACACCGTACAGGCCCAATATCAGCACTCATGGACTTTTGCTTATTGTATATTTTAACATATTTGACCACTGTGACCTTGAACGTGGGTTGAACAAACTTGGTAGCCTTTCCTATATGGCCCAATATCAGCACTCATGGACTTTTGCTTATTAAGAAGAAGTTGTTTGTATATTAAAACATATTTGACTCCTGTGACCTTGAAAGTGGGTCAAGGCCATTCATTTGAACACACTTGGTAACACTTTTACTCCAAACACCATATAGGCCCTATATCAGCACTCTTGAACGTTTGCTTATTGAGAAGAAGTTTGTATATTTTAACATATTTGACCCCTGTGACCTTGAAAGTGGGTCAAGGTCATTCATTTGAACAAACTTGGTAGCCTTTCCTCCAAACACCGTACAGGCCCAATATCAGCACTCATGGACTTTTGCTTATTGAGAAGAAGTCATTTGTTTATTTTAACATATTTGACCGCTGTGACCTTGAACGTGGGTCAAGGTCATTCATTTGAACAAACTTGGTAGCCTTTCCTCCAAACGTTTGCTTATTGAGAAGAAGTTTGTATATTTTAACATATTTGACCCCTGTGACCTTGAAAGTGGGACAAGGTCATTCATTTGAACAAACGTGGTAGCCTTTCCTCCAAGCATCCTTTGCTTATTGAGAAGAAGTCATTTGTATATTTTAACATATTTGACCCCTGTGACCTTGAAAATGGGTCAAGGTAATTAATTTCAACAAACATTTTAATGCTCCGTGCCAACATGCTATGGGCCAAGTATTAGCCCCCTAGGCCTTCTAGTATTTGAGAAGATGTTTTTTGAATGAAATGTTTATGGACGACACACAGCACTTCGGGTCAGATTACCTAAAAAATCAATTTTTTTTTTTTTTTGACCTTTTGGCAAAAAACCTATATTAATATAAAGAAACAGAACAATAACAAGAGGCCTTTTACCTGATGGTGAAAAGCCCTAATAGTAATAGGGAACATGCTTTGATGTGCGTGCCACTGTTTATTATTTAAATAGTTTTGTTGCCATGGTTACTAGTCACTATAAACATATTTTTCATTCTTATCCAGAGAACGCTTCCAAAATTTGAAGACCAATTTCAAGGAACTTAACAGGAATATTAAGGATGATGAGGAAATGTGCATGACACTGTTTAATAATTTAAATATCGGTTGCTATGGTGACTGGTCACAGAATTTTTCTTGCATTGACATCTTTTAAACTGAGGACCAATTTCAATGCAACTTTACAGGAATGTTAGAGACCATGTATTGATGTGCAATTAGGGGGTTTGCATGAATATTGTACACTTTGTTGGGTGTTACCAGTGTAAGCTATGACCTTGCATAAAATTTTTAATAGAAATAGTCCAGGAAACATAATTATCAGATATCTGAAGTCTTGGCTTGTGATATTTTTAGCAAGTAGCAGTGGGTCTGAATGTTGTTATTGTAGATATGACAAAAAGATGTATGGAATACTTGAAGGTTCCAATGTCATTTGCCCACCATACATCTTGCTGTCATATTGACTATAACAACACTGAAACCAATGTCCAATACCTCTATTTACATTTATTGCTTCTCAGTTTTGAAAAACCAGAAAAATACCAACATTCTTGTAAGGTCACATGACCTACAGTGGGTTATACAGTGATTATATAGGCAAACGCTGTTTAAGTGCTATTTGAGAGTTTAACTCACAAATCAACAAGCATCACACTTTTAAACGTTTTAAAAGTTGATGCCAGATATGACAAAAGCTTTCTGGGTGGTAGAGGCAGAGGTGAATTAAAAACAACATGTATTTATTGTTTCTCCTTTATTCATATAAAAACAAAAAAGAAAACATAAAAAACAATGCCAAAGAAAAACTTGATTGTTTCCTGTCACTCATCATTTTATATGCACATCATATAATTATGTGGGACTTTCAAAATCTTTAAAAATAATTATCAAATATTTTTCACTTGTTCTCTAATCACATTACGAATGTAAAAAAAACTATATCATATTCATTAAAAACAGTCATTGCCTTATCAGAGTAGAATTTTTTCAAATTCAAAATTTGTTTCTGAATAAAGAAAAGTGATCTAAATTATGTAATGAAAATTTCAAACATGTTTTAATTGACTTAATCCTGGGCATTTGAACCAAACATTCAATTCACAAATGAACAAATACTATCTAGTTAGGGCAATATTGCAGCAAATGTCTGCAAAGTAAAAGTCAATGCAAATGTAAATATCATTTACATCATCAATTATTACACTTAACACAATGGGGCATGTCAGGTTCCAAGTCATAACTGGTAACCATTTAGACCATGGTGATTATCACTCAGATTGAAGTCCAATCCAAAGACATGACAATGGATATTTAAACACCAGTTCTATTTTGAAGGACTGTAACCATCTCATAATGTAGATCTTGATGCCCACCATCAATTGATTGATGATAATTCAGACGGATATTTTCCCATCTTTTCTCTTTTGATCTCGAAAACCAATTCATTTCTCAAATCTTAGAGAAAAAGTAATAACAAACTATTATAACAGTCAAATTCCAAAAGGGACTTCTCTCTGCCATCTCCTTTTTTGAATAGGGAAAAAACAATTGCAATGCACAACTTGGGTCTGAGTGTAACCCTTTATACAATGTATAAAACTTGATAAAGATTCATCCATTTCCAACCACAATCCAAGATAACTGCCTGTCAGCCATATTGTTCTTCAAATTGATCAAAAACAGGTGCAATGCATAACTAAATTCGTCGAAGAATCTACGAATGAAATTTGAGAAAGATCCATTTACTTCTGGTCAAGAAATAGCAATAACATTATCTGGCAAAATCCAAGATGGCTGCCTGTCGGCCATTCAGTTTTTTTCAATTCAGTCAACAACGGTACATTTGCACTACTTGGTCCGAGGGGAACCTTCATATGATATTTGTGAAAAATCCATCGAGTAGTTGTCAAGTAATAGCTATAACAAACAATATCTGCCAAAATCCAAGATGGCTGCCTCTTGGCCATATCATTTTTTTCCAACTGATATGCAAAGGTGCAAATCCTTGACTAGGGTCATAAGGGAACCTTTAAAATCTGAAAAAGTCCATCCAGTAGTTGTCAAGAAATCTTGATAACAATATCTGGCAAAAATCCAAGATGGCTGCCTTTTGGCCATGTTCTTTTCAGAATTAGTACCAAAAAAGGGACTAAATCATAAGATTTCACAGTCAGCATGTTAGCAGTTAGAGTGTTGACCAGCGAATGTTTGAACATGCTAATCATTGACATTTTTGCATATCAAATGCTATAATTATGTAAATACTAAAATTTTAAGTACTACATTTGTCTGAAAGCCAATTCTCGAAGAAAATGACCAAAACCTAATGATTTAGTACCTTTAATGCACAACTAAGGTCCTAGAGATACCTAAATAGGAAGTTTGAGAAAAATCCATACCATGGTTGTCAAAAAATTGTGGTATCAACAAAAGTCATGCAAAATCCAAGACAGCTGCCTGTTTGCCATGTTGTTTTTTAATTGCAGTATGGTCCTTTACATTATAGGTCTCTGGAGGAAGATAAAATTCTTGCACTTAAAGTTGCACATGGTAGTTATATGGCTCATATGTCACTTTCACCACAGAGTAAAGTAGACCTAGAATGGTGGGTGAATAATGTACATGCCGCCCTAAATCCTATTTCCCATGGTACACCCACTGTCATCCTTACCTCGGATGCATCTAAAAAAGGACGGGGTGGCGCATTATTTGATAATGATGGGAAGGTCAAACTTAAAGCAGGTGGACGATGGTCTCTTGAGGAAAGCCTTGATCATATTAATTATCTGGAGTTGAAAGCAGCATGGTTTACATGTCAGGCATTGTGTAGAGACCTACATCATGTACATATTCGACTGAACATTGACAATACAACGGCTATTGCATACATTTCTAACATGGGGGAAAAGACAAAAGCCTGTAATGAGTTGGCTGTTAAAGTCTGGAAATGGGCTATTGATAGGGATATATGGTTATCCGCAGCCCACATTCCAGGTCGTGAAAATGTTGAGGCTGATACAGAAAGTAGACTTGAACATGAAAACACAGAATGGAGGTTACATACAAATATTTTTCAAATCTTGGTAAAAATTTGGGGCAGACTACAAATTGATTTGTTTGCTTCCAGACTAAATGCACAGCTTCCCAAGTATGTATCTTGGAAGCCTGATCCCTTTGCATGTGCAGTTGATGCTTTTACATTAACATGGAACTCTTACAGTTTCATTTTTCCGCCATTCTCTTTATTGGGTAAAATTCTCCAAAAAATATGTGAGGATAAAACACAAGCTTTATTAATAGCACCAATGTGGTCTACTCAGCCATGGTATTCACATCTTCTGAACTGTATTATTGATTGTTTTTATTTTACCTACGGTCAACAGAATCCTCAGTCATCCACACCGAGGAACCAGGGACAGGAACAACCTTCCAAAGATGACATTAATGGCTTGTCGGGTGTCAGGAGATCCCTCCGAATGTTGTCAATTCCGCCAGATGTTGAACAGATCATCTTGTCATCATGGCGACCATCAACAGTCAAACAGTACTCAACATTCTTTAAAAAATGGACAACATTTGCGAGTTCGGAAAACATTTGTGCCGTGTCACCTGATATCAGAGACATTTTGAGCTTTTTAACATCACTTTACCACAGAGGACTTGGTTATAGTGCCATTAACAGCGCTAGGTCAATGTTGTCCACATTTGTTGTTATTAATGGCCAAGGATGTGGCACTCATCCCTTGATCAAGAGATTTATGAAAGTTTTCAATTTACGACCGGCTTTGCCCAGGAACAATGTTTCATGGGACCCTGAGCAAGTGTTAACATTCTTAAAGACTATGGACTGTGGGACATTAAAATCTTTAACACTAAAGCTGGTTACTATGTTGGCACTATTAACAGGCCAACGACTACAATCCCTTCACTTGTTGGATATAAAGAACATTTCTCTAACAGATTCTAGTCTGAAACTTAGATTTGGAGATGCACTAAAACAGACTCGTCCAGGTTTCCATCAAAGGGAGATAACCCTTCAGCAGTTTGAGGACAAACAGCTTTGTGTTGTGTCAATATGTAAAGACTACCTAACAAGAACTGAACCTCTTACAGGACAACACTCAAAACTGTTTTTGGGGTTTCAAAAGCCTTACAAACCAGTGTCTAAAGCAACATTAGCAAGATGGATTAAGACAACGTTGGCTAGTGCTGGGATAGATATGAATATCTTTACACCGCATAGCACAAGAGCAGCATCAGTTTCTGCAGCATCTAGGCTACAGGTACCAATAACCTCAATACTAAGTACAGCTGGATGGAGCAATACCAGCACCTTTGCAAAGTTTTACAAAAAACTTTTTGTGGATTCCAGCACGGTATTCAAGATTCATTGACATTTATACATGTGATATTAGAACTTTGTGATCTTTCTGTATTGACATGATGGAGTACTCGTGAGATGGTACAGCAGAGACAAATACTTTTAGTGAATGACATTTAATGGAATTATCTCAATTGAGTGGTTAAGAATAAGATTGTGTGTCCATCATCATACTAGTGGAAGCTGCGTACTATGGAACTATGTTCATTACATTTGGTATATATTATTAACTTTGTGGTTTTCATACATGTGCCAAAGGAAATAGGACTCAAGGAACTGATCTCTAGTCACTGATCATCTTTTGAAGACTTAGCAACGATATTGAAAATTTTACGTTTCATTAAGCTTAGACAAGTGCGAGTAGTTTGTAGACTCTTTCCTTGTGTGCAACAGATTTTATGACTTTATTATCTTGAGTGATACAGCTATTAGCTGACATTTCTTCTGATCTTAACTTCATGTTTCCAGTTATATGCACACATATATATGTTCTTGTATGTACATATGTTTGAGTTGTTCAATATAACATTTAATTCTATACCTTGCATTACTTATTTGTTCGTGAACACTCTCTTTGAACATCTCATGGGATCCTGGATGTACCATCCAGGAGTGAATGACAGAATTTAAGAATTAAATGAGCCTTACCTGTAAGTTGAAATTTGATTGTAATTCTGTCTTCACTCCTGGAGGTGCATCGGGATCACATGCCCTCCCATTTTACCCGTCCCCTTCTTGGAATATCTTGGAACTTAGTGTTTTTATAGTTGGTTCCTATACCTCATCAAGTTAGTACTTGGTAGTGTCCACTCACATCTTTGAAGAATGACTGCTAACGATGCGCACGCATCTCATGTGATCCCGATGCATCTCCAGGAGTGAAGACAGAATTACAATCAAATTTCAACTTACAGGTAAGTCTCATTTAATTCTTAAATTGATCCAAAAAAGCTACCATGCACAACAAGGAAGCAAGGGGACTATGCATATGAAATTTGAGAAGTTGTCAAGGAAAAGTGATAACAAGATTTCCCGCTAAAACCCAAGAAAACCAATTATTGGCCATGTTGTTCATGGAATCACCACAAAAACTGTACCATGCTAGGGACCATGGGGTACCTACATATAAAAGTTGAAAAAAATCCATCCCGTACTTGATGAGAAATATGAATAACAAGAACTATTTATAGATTAACGACGGATGACTGAAGGTCAATGGACAAAGGATGATTCGAATAGCCCACTATCATCAGATGGTGGGCTAAAAATCGAACAGATCTGAATGATTGAAAAAATTATTTTACCTTTCTATAGCATAATGTGCCTTGATTTCACCTTGGTTGTCTTCCAAATTCCCGTAAACAATTCAAAACCAAACCATGCTATAGCTAATATCCTTTACAAAGCCAGTGAATATCAAACACTCCACTGTATCAAAAAAATAAAGTTCAGCACCATGGTTGTTCAATATTGCCTGCCATTTCTTTAACCCAAATGCCTTCAGAACCATGGATGCATAAGACCAGTCAATTAGCTTACACAAAGCTACTGGTTTCATCTTTCATTTACCAAAACACATGTGCTCAAAACTTTGGCCCATACAGGGGTGACAAATTAATAATATTTGAAAATGTCTGTAAGACATAAATGCCCAACGACCTATCGTTAAATGGGATATACTGATTCGGAATGCGACGTGACATGACACGACGGGACGGATGGACGTGGGTAAAGCTATATGCCCCCGGCCATTTGATGGCGGGGGCATAAAAACAAGCATTTCCTGATTGTAACAAAAGTTTAGAAGTATGGGGTGCAAAATCTGTCACTGTGGGGTTACAGAAATGCAACCTACATACCTGTGGCTATTCAAGATCTTGGGTCCACCTAATTAAGGAACAGCTTTCATCAGAATCATTAAACAAAAAGTTTTCCTTAAATTGCCACTGTAAACTTGGCCTTGGCCTTTAAACTAAGAAACCCTATGAAGACAGACTATTGAGTTTCACTAGAATGTATGAAATCATGAAGTCGCTAAATAATTAAGATGAATCTGTAAATGACTTTTTATAGTCTGCAACAGTGACCTTGACCCTGACCTGAAACCCTGTAGGAATTATACATATATTTGATCTTGTCATAAACTTTGACATAAATGAAGCTGCTAAGTGTTTAAGTTGAATCAATGTTGATTATCTGTATACCTTGCCCTTGACTTTGAAACTCTAAATAACAATAATGTGTGGGCTACATACATGTACATACTTTATCTTTCTATGAAATTTGACCAAAATTTGTTATAGAATGATGTTGCTAAATGTGTTAAAAATGAATAGTTATCGACTTTCATTATTTAGGAAGTGTAACATGTATTAGCCTTGATATGGGATATTTGCAAAAGAATGAACACCTCAGATACACACATTCAAATGAACACCTCAGATACACACACTCAAATGAACACCTCAGATACACACACTCAAATGAACACCTCAGATACACACACTCAAATGAGCACCTCAGATACACACACTCAAATGAACACCTCAGATACACACACTCAAATGAACACCTCAGATACACACACTCAAATGAGCACCTCAGATACACACACTCCAATGAACACCTCAGATACACACATTCAAATGAACACCTCAGATACACATTCAAATGAACACCTCAGATACACACACTCAAATGAGCACCTCAGATACACACACTCAAATGAACACCTCAGATACACACACTCAAATGAACACCTCAGATACACACACTCAAATGAACACCTCAGATACACACACTCAAATGAACACCTCAGATACACACACTCAAATGAGCACCTCAGATACACACACTCCAATGAACACCTCAGATACACACACTCAAATGAACACCTCAGATACACACACTCAAATGAACACCTCAGATACACACATTCAAATGAACACCTCAGATACACACATTCAAATGAACACCTCAGATACACATTCAAATGAACACCTCAGATACACACACTCAAATGAGCACCTCAGATACACATTCAAATGAACACCTCAGATACACATTCAAATGAACACCTCAGATACACACATTCAAATGAACACCTCAGATACACATTCAAATGAACACCTCAGATACACACACTCAAATGAACACCTCAGATACACACATTCAAATGAACACCTCAGATACACACACTCAAATGAACACCTCAGATACACACATTCAAATGAACACCTCAGATACACACACTCAAATGAACACCTCAGATACACACACTCAAATGAACACCTCAGATACACACATTCTGACACACCTCAGATACACACACTCAAATGAACACCTCAGATACACACACTCAAATGAACACCTCAGATACACACACTCAAATGAACACCTCAGATACACACATTCAAATTTTGAAAAATACCTGTCTTCTTAAACTATAAAATAAATGTTGAAATCCAGCAACTCTTTGAAATGATAATTGACTTGGTAACAAATGTGGAATTAAATATCATATGATTTGATGATATTTTATGATGTATACACATTCAACATACAATTAGATCAAAATGTATGAAAATGATGTAACATTGCTTTGACATAAAAATTATCATGATTTCTTCTAAACTATTAAAGTTACGATTAGAGCCGATAAACGTACATTAAGGCAACTTGAGATATATATATTTCATTTTCTTAGTGAGCACTGTGCTTAAACGTACACAGGAAATAGCCACGTTAGTGAGCAGCTCGGCATGCACGAGGTGAAATTCTCGTTAATTTGATCACCATTAATATAGTCTTAGATACGTAACAATTGAATAGATCTGTTATATAATGCATGTGTACAAACGTTAGAATAAATTTGCAGAGACCTATAAAAATTAATTGCTTACGGTCGACATTCCCGAACTGTGTAACATGTGCTAGCATTTAAGAACGTCTATATCACTTATCGGAAATCTGAAGCGTACAAATTGATGCTCGTTCACTCGTGTTACTTGTTAAAAATAAGAAATTCTTTTGTGGCATAACGGAGATATTAAGTCAAAACTTACCGGCATGGTGTACGGGGGATATACACAAGTGTTGATTTGACTGTACAGGGAATAGCATTTCTTTTTACGGGGGATAGGGATATTGTTAAATACAAGGCACGAATGTTGACTGATATACTTACTATTGATGATAAATGTAGAGTCTACCTTTAACAATGGTTTGGGGTACAAATCTCACACAAGAGGACATAGATCTGTCGTCTACCGAGCCTTAAATAATAAATCTCTCTGGATGATGCGTGATTTTTCTTTCCCATCCCATTTCTGGTGATAGATTATTTTTTCTCAAACTTCAAAGAATCATAAAACGATATTTATCGTGCAAAGTCCAGACAAACATTTAAGACGACGCCACGGTTACTTTCCATTATTTGTTGTCTATTAAAAACTTGAGGTCAGGCGGTAATGACATGACATTAATCTAAGGTCAGCTCAAGGTTGTTCAGTTGTTATAGAGGGGAGGAGTGGGGAATCGAATTCATAATTATTGCAATTGTTATCAAACTAAATTTTTTTTTCTTTTTAGTTTTTTTTTCTTAAATGTCATTTGATGATATATTTCAAACCTTCATTAGAAAAAATGACCAAACAACATGCCATTGTTGAAAAGTAGGTCACGGTAATTAAGTGCCCTAATTACTAATTAAGTCACACTTGAACACCTTTTTTTGTCTTAATGCATCTATAAACAATACGTTTATCACGTGCAGTGTATTTATTTGAAATATTTTTGCATGAATTAGAGCAATGAAGAAGTTACAGTCAGGGTAAGAGAAGGATGCCGTTTAGATAGACTAGATACAGCACCATACAACTTTTCAATCAATGGCCTGTGTGACTGTAGGTTTAATTCTTAACTAGTTTGATCCCCTTTGTCCCCATTCCAAAGGCCACTGGGGAGGAAACCTTATACTTTATAACTTTTGCCATGAAAACGGTTCCTTCATAA